CTTATTTTGCACTTAAAATGCATTAAAACTTTTAAATTATATTTCGTATATGTCAAGAATTTGATAATAAGAAAAATTGTCTAAAAATGTGAAAATTATTTTAGATTTAGATATGTTTTATACGGAGAAGTCTCAGAAACTAAAGGTTAGCAAGTTAAGTTTTAAGTGTACATAATTAATATTATAATTTTAAAACATAGGTAGGTAGGTAGTTCGAAGTCTTTCTCGAGGAACTCATGATCGACACGATTATGAAGTACATCACAAGATCTGTCAAAACTGTGAAACTCGTAGTACCGAGAACTCTATTAGTCGAAGTAGTGCGAAACTCTGAGTTCGAACGGGAAATACATTACTGGCCGTGCGAAACTCATTGGCAAGTACCAGAGTTTGCACTTAGCCTCCACCCATATTGCTGAACTTAAAGTCGATAAGCGAGATGCACGGAATACTAAGTATTAAGTTAAAGTACATAACTTATTAGCAACATATTCTACGTTTAATTTGTATCATAACTTCATAAATATGTAAGAATCTGTTTTTTTTTTAAATATTGACACAGATGCTACTATTTTGATATTGTGTGAATGTTGCGGCAATACCTATTCTTAAAATTATGTAAATGGAGGTCAGTTAAATTTCTCTATTAGACTTTTTTTTTATTTTATGACAATTGTAAGTTACAATGAATTATATTATGAAATAATTGATAGCTATTCTTATGTGAATAAAAAGGTTTTATTAGAGATATTTTAGAATTTAATGGTTTTAGCGTAAAACTTAGTTTGTTTTCGTTAAGACTTTTGATTTGATTCCGATATATGTACGGTATGATTTTGTTTATTTGCAACTTGCATTAGAAATGGCAGCATTCCCAACAAACTAACAAGTCACTAAATTACAAATACCCTTTGAATAGACGAAATTGTAGCGTAGTATGAAGTTAGTTTCAGTCGTCTAACGACGCAACTTGCACAATTTGAAACTTTCGAGTACTAGGTGATTTCCCTTCTATCCTTTGTTCCGTTAAGTTGAGAATAAGTTTACATTATGTATGTATGGTAGGCTAACTGGAAAATGATGATTAAAGTGATAGGAAAACATCTTAAAAGTAGAGAATGAAATTACATATATTTCTAACTAGCTTTTGCCCCGACTCCGTCTGTTCGGAATTTTAAAAAAAAACGTAATAAGTATCCTATGTGTTTTTCAGACTATGTTCTATGTGTATGCCAAAATTCAACGGGATCCGTTCAGCCGTTCTGGATATACCTTCAAAAAACATCGAACCATCCATTTATCTATACATTCGCATTTACAATATTAGTAAAAGAAGTAAGATATCTTTTATAGAAAAAAACTAAAAATAGTAAAAAGTAAATTTAAACTAAGATTTCCTGCAGCAGAGTTAAGGTAAATTAAATTAAAAACATGCTCCAAGAGAAATAACTAAGAAGGATAGTAATAAGTTAAGAGAAGGACATCTGTCGGCGAACTGTAGTCTGCGAGAAACACAAGCTAACTTTTAAACGAGGGCACTTTAAATTAATTAACCAAAAAGGATACAGTGAGTTGAAATAGCGGAGTGAAAAGTCGCCAATTAATTGCATACTACGAAGAGTGAGGGACAAAGTGCAAACGACGGGGAGGGATTGAAGGAAAATATCATATACTTTAATTATTTTCTTGCTCCAATGAGTTTTAAAATCACAATAAATATATGGTAGGCGATGGGGAATCAGTAGTCAATGTTCTCCATACACGGACCGTAATTTGAAATCGCCATTAAAATGGCGCCATACAATGACCTATAGCTGTACATGTTGGAACATGTTTTTTTTTTTTTTTTATATTCGCAGATTTTGTTACTTTACTTATATTTCTTGTACCGTTCTAAGTAAGCTCTATGCTTGTGCTAGGACATGGTTTACGATAATAGTCGAATGATGGGGTTCAAACCCCGACCTCGTGATCAGAAATCTGTACCCTTAACCACTAGATTATTGTCGCTTCGATGATGAATCAAGATTAGTTAAAGTTTCTATGGCTCTGCATCACTAATCAAATTAAATTAGCCTTCAGTTAGATTAAAGACGGGCTTTCACTGAGCTAATATAGTCCTATTAAACCAAGACTAATAACTCAATGTTAAGGAAGCTTCTAAGATCCATCGCTCTTTGGGATCAAATTGAGTTAGTTCCTAGTGTTTTAAGCTTTAACTTAATTAGTAAGTGCAGTCGGGTCTTATGTGATGGAAGGATTAGATCTTAAACTAGCCAGAACTTAACCTAAAAATTTCAGTCTTGATTCTGTCTGACGTTAAGTTACTTGGTAATTTAGTTGTTACTTAGTTTACGGACGGACGTTTTCGAGTAAAGGAAAGTTTTAAGCAACTGAATATTTTCAGAAACTTAACAATTACATCTAATGTGGAGCTTGATTATAACTTTTTATAAGTAAAACGAGTCTTAGGTAAATAATGAGATATAACCATGTTATATATAACGAAGAATTTCCAGAACAAATATAATAACAAAGTAATAAAACAAATACAAACACACGTTGAGTCCAAAGTAAACATTTAGAGAAACATTCGCCTACGCCGGGGTAATGTTTATCCGAGTACATCTATAACTTCAAGTACAAATACTTTATTGTACTTTATATTGTGTACTTTATTTAAAAAAAAACATTGTTTTTTTTCTGTAAAAGATTGTTACCTAAACAATCAACCAGTGATAAATAAATGCAACAGCTGCTTTCGGGTTTGATCACTCAAACCGGTATGGACAGCAGAACAAATTTTTATCGTAAATAAAATTGAGCTTCATACGATTGAAACAAGATTTAATTTTACTAATGCCGTCCTTTTTACGCTTGCATCCGAAAAAAAATAGGTGCAAAGAAAGACTAAACCTTATTCTCAATGAAGAATGAAGGTGTCTGTTTCTTACCCCATTCTTTCTGTACGGACTCCAAAACGGATAATAAATTTTAAAACAATGCACAAACAATATCAATCGTCCTTTTCATTATCTTTGAATAAATAGAGATAGCAATATGTAATTACTAACGGTAAAAATATATTGTAGCATAAACAAAGGCAATTAAAATGTGATAATAAAAAAAATCTGTAACCGATCTGAACAAACATGTTCTATGTACGCTTTTATTCGCATGGGGTAAACCACCGTATTTGTCATCCTGCCCTCGTTTCATGTGGATATCACGTTACCATCGATTACAAATAAAGCAACGATACGCTTTCAAATGAAAAAGCTCATGAAAGCTATAGGGGTCGATGAACTTTGCGATTAAAATTATTTCGAGAACGTTCTTTTTTATCGATATACTAGTTCGATCACTCTCGGTCCACGTGTATAAAAAAACATAATTAGTAGATTATGTGTTCTTCCAGACTATGTTTTATATTTATGCCAAATATCGAGATCCGTTCAGCTGTTCTGGAGATACCTTCAAACAAACATCCATTCATCCATCCATGTTAACATTCCCATTTAATTTATAAAAAAAACAGTTTTAAAATATGATATTAAATTTGTAAAAGTATACTTAGGTACAAAGGACTTTACTCTTATATTGAACTTCGACTTTCAAATATATTCAAAGGTTATTCTACAAATCTCTCTCTCTCTCTCCCTAGCTTGCATCTCACAAGGTGGTGGGGTCAGCTTTAATTCTACAACTATAATATAATAAGTTATTGAACGATTGAACTTGTGAAGTCATTGTCAAAATAATTAAAAATAGTATAAAAATAATTTGTAATTTGTTAATAACACACAGAATAAGCCATACGTGCTAAAAATAAAGAATAAAATATTTGACATTTTATACACTTTTTGGACGAGTTCACAAGAGCGATCACCGAGGACTATGGACGAATATGAGAAATATTATTAATAACTCTTTGTGTCAATATTTCTTTATCAGAGTAACAGGTTAGTGACCTGTACGTCTGGAACGTTTCACTAATCTATAGTGCCGACTAGACAACAGTCCCCGGTGTCTAGACAGATCTGACAACTCTGTACCTATATAGACAATTTTTAGTTAGTTTCCATTAACAAACAGGTATTTTTGAGTATAGAAACCTCGCGGTTTAAATCAATGTTTTTAAATAAAATTTTATTACATGCATTTTTTTGTGAAAAAACACTTTTTTATGATGCTCTCAACAAACATCTTAAGAAGATTTAAAGTCCTTACAAACTATAATACAATAAGATCGGACTAGACACAAAGAGACCCACAACTTTTATACGAAATAATTCCACAAAGTTGAACCCATAACAGTAAAAATTCCAAGGCAAAATATTTACAAGAAGCCGTGTATTACAGCGATATCTTAATCATGTCCCCAGCTCGGTCCATTCGCTTGTCAATCCGAGCTCTTCAAAATAAACGAGCTCTTTATCACCCACATAAAAGGCATTTCTGGCAAAGAGAAATTTATTTACTGTTAAAGCGGAGTGGGTCTCCATTTTTATCTTCTTATCGGACTTTTACATTTAAATGTTATTTCTAAAGCTCAAGAACATGAAATAAAGAATCTTTTGGTGCAGACAAAGTAAATTATTATAATTATATGCTAATGTATTCGATTAAATAGGAAGAAGCGTTATAAAAGAATTTTCATTGAACATTTATTAGAATTGAAATAACGTGAGCAATAAGAGTTTACTATAACAATTTTATAGAAGCAGCCATTAAAACAAGTTTTCATCATAAAAAAAACATTACCAGACCAGTGGAATTGCAAGTATGTCTAAACAGTTATGATTGCGCATGTCAAAAACGATATTCCTACTTTTTTTTGGTATCAGGGGGAATCCTTCCAAAATATACCCTGCCTTCTGGGGGGAAGCTGTCAACCCTGTGGTGTCGTAGGGTTTCACCTAACACACCCTCGAACCCATATAGACCTAGAATGTAGCCTAGAACTTCAATTGCTTTGGTACTAATAAACTTTTTCTTAGCAGGCAAGCAGCGGTGCGGAGCCGCAAGTGGCGGTGCTCTGCGATGCCGGCTCCAGCTACCACCCGCAGTACATGTCTGCCGCAGGCCGCTGGACTCCCGACCTAACCACCAAACCTCACAACTGCCTCAAGGACAAGATGGAAATACTCGACTATTGCAAAAAGGTATGCTTTTTCAAACACGTTCAGTTATCCTGACGTGTCTACTGTTCGTAGTAGTCTTTTTGCTTTCGAAAAAATTACTTACTAATCCGTAGAAGACACATTTATATATATTGGATAGTGTAGTCATATTTTTTTGAACGTTAAGTTAGATTGAACATGTCTAAATAATGACAAATTAAAGATTAATGACACTTTTTGCGATTTGGTGGCAATTTTTTCAATGTGATCACACTTTACCAAAAAATCTATTTAATTTGGCTTTTCTTTGTATTAAAATGATAAAAATCACATTCTATTAAGTCCGTTGTGTATAAACTTTGGGCTTTATCTTCCATGTTTATAATTCATCATGCGAAAAGTTCCATTAATTATTCTGTTTGGTAGATCGTCGACTCGTCGGCTTTATGTTGGGAGAATTCATTAGTTAAAGCTGGATCGACTTGGGGCGTTGTTTGGCTCGTGTCAAATAAACAATTAGCAATCATAACGAAATCAAATCGTAGCCTGACTTTCGTAACTTGATCCATTTGTAAATGATGAAAGGAGTTAAGATTTATTGAACATCATTCTAAGCTTTTATATCTTAGTTTTTCTTAGTTTCTATAATTATAGAAATTGCGATAAGCCAATCGAGGCATAAGGTGGTTTCTCCTTAACGTACACAGAGTTTCTTATATATGTATTATATTTGTTTCCAGGTGTACCCCAGCCATGACATTACCAACATCGTGGAGGCGTCGCACTACGTCAAAGTGAGCAACTGGTGCAAGCTCGGTTCCAGCAACGCCGCTAAATGCAAAGTCACCCGTTGGGTCAAGCCTTTCCGTTGTCTTGGTATGCATATAATAAGTAACAGCTGAATAAAGACATTTCTTGGTAAAATAGTTAACCAAACTATGACATAAAATATGTTTAGAAAAAGCCATAGTCCAGTTTTTAATCCACAGAACTTTTTTCGTTTAACACATAAGTCCTGAAACTGTACTTATTAGTAAGAGAAGGTCCATTGATCCCTTGAAAATTTAATTCGATGTTTTCTATCAATAACACAAGAACTACAAAGACTATTTGTCGGCAGAAGGTCCATTCCAATCAGACGCGCTGTTGGTGCCCGAGAGCTGTCTGTTCGACCACATCCACAACCAGAGCCGCTGCTGGCAGTTCGCACGTTGGAACGCGACCGCGGGACGTGCATGCGCACAACGAGGCCTCCGACTCCGTACCTTTGCTATGCTTCTGCCCTGCGGCATCAGCCTCTTCTCCGGTGTCGAGTTCGTTTGCTGCCCCAAGCATTTCAAAGGTAAAATCAGTTATTTTAAATTTGCATAAAATGTTTTGAGTATCATTTCTATTTTGTTGAGGATAAGATTGGTATTCAAATAAAATATGTACCAATCTGTTTTAATCTACTAGGCTACTAAAATTAATTTTTCTCTTTGAAATGCCATCGCTGACATGGAGTATAACAATTTTAGAAAATGTCAAGATGCATAAGCCAATGGACGTCGGTGTACCAGTCAGCCCTGGCGGTGAAGAGATGCTGGCCGCCTCCGCCGCAATGGATGAACGCGATGATGAACTGCTGGATGATGAAGACGCACTCGCAGATGATGATGATGACACACTTAACTTGAGCGATGATGACGATGATGATGACGCCGATGACGGTGAGTTCGGTGAGCATAAACTTATTATTTCATATTTTGTATAGTTTTTTTTAATACATATTAATGTATGTAATGAAATCTTTTTTAAAGAAGGCATTTCGATACTTAAAAGTTGGTTCCAAAAAGTACAAATAACAAACAAATCTAAGTTACAAATACGTTTTTAGATATGGATGAAGACGAGGACACTGACTTGTCCCGCGACGACGACGCCGAAGACGACGACTACACAGACGGAGACGATAACGCCTGGCCGCGTCCCGAGACCTCCTCGCCACCTTCTACCACCAGCACAACTACCACTACCACGACGACATCCACCACTGTGGTGAGTTTGTTACAATTCCTTAATATTATCAAGAATTTCTTGAGATAGACTTGTTTCCATACAATTTGTTATAACTTCTACGTTCTACGATTTCCAGTTAGAGTTTTGAACAATTGTCCTTGTTCTTACAGGCATCTACCGCTACCTCGGACCCATACTTCTCGCACTTCGACCCCCGCACTGAGCACCAGAGTTACAAGGATGCCCAGCAACGCCTTGAAGAAACTCACCGCGAAAAGGTACAAAATAAAATTCACTTTAAAATTTATAATTGATCCTACTGTCGTTGGTTTCATTCATGATTAAATGGGTAAACTTCAATGTCGTAGATCACAAAGGTGATGAAGGAGTGGTCGGAACTTGAAGAACGCTACCAGCAGATGATGAGCACCGACCCCACCGCCGCGCAGACCTTCCGACAGCGCATGACTGCCAAGTTCCAAGCCAACATTCAGGTAAACAATTCCACAATCATACTAATGTGCTAAAATTGCTAGTCAAATCTTGATTGTATAATAGATTGTTATTAATTGCTTTGTTTTGTTAAAGATGTCGAGAAGTATTTATTACATCCTGTAAAACTCTACTAAAATTTTGGCATAATTGGATTTGGGAAGCTCTGATCCACAGAACTATTTGTAGCAGCGTAAATGGTCTTAATATTAAAACTCATAACATAGAGCCTAATGTTAACTATTGCTTTATCAGTCCCTGGAGGAGGAAGGCGTGGCGGAGCGTCGCCGATTAGCCGCACTGCACCAGCAACGAGTTTTGGCACATCTGGCTCAACGTCGCCGCACTGCGCTCGCCTGCTACACCCGCTCTCTCCGCGACACACCGCCCAATGTAAGAAGAAACCAACGTACATTAACATTCGACTTGGAGAATACGCTCAAAAGAATAAGTGAAAAAAACATAGACCAAATAACGTAAAACTAGCACGACTATGTAGAGAAGTCTGTTTCACAATTTGTAACATATTTGTCCAGGCCCACCGTGTCCAGAAATGCCTGCAGCGGCTGGTGCGAGCCCTTGCAGCTGAACGTAGCGGCGCACTGGCCGCTTGGCGCCGCGCTGCAGCTGCGGGAAGAGAAGCCGCCGCCGCTGAACGAGCCTCTGCCACTGACCGCCTTCAGGTCAAATCACTTCCTTAATCAAATTACTCGTACCTTTATGACTACTTTAATTATTCTTTGCTTTCTTAATACTAACTATTGAAATTTATGATGACAGGATGCCGACCGTGCCCTTCAACGTGCTCTGTCCTCGCTCCGCCGTCGCCCGCACCTCTACGCCAGCATTGGAACCGCTATTGAAGACTATGTCCAGGTACCAATGTCTTAATTTTTAGAAGGGTAGAGCAAGCTTTAAAATAATGTCTTTATTGACAAATTCTTATTCAATTACAAGCAACCTAATGTCATTCTCTATATTTCAGTCGATGCAATCGAAAGACGATATGGCAGTGTCTCTGATGTCGATGACCCCTGAGGCGGAGGAGCTGCTACTGGACCGCATCGAGGCAGAGGTGCAGCGCGAGCAGGCGGCACGCGATCAGCTAGGAGCTAAGCGCGATCAACGCGCCAGGCAGCGGCAGGATGTACAGAACGAAAGGATCAAGGTATGTACTACAACGAAAGACAGTTGATCACCGTCATCTGTTTTAAATTTACCACATAATTCTATCCCTATCAGACTTCAAACGGCGTGAAAGAGAGCGATGAGATCGACGATGAGGCCAACGAGGTGAACGAGACGGAGGAAACGACGGCCGCCCCTGCTGCCCGCAGCCCGCCACCTTCCTCCCCCGCACCGCCCGCCTCCTCCGCCTCCCCCGCCTCGCCTGCCTCCCTCGCCATTGCCCGTGACGCCACCACGCGCATGGCCTACACACAGGAAACTACTACCACTGTGAGTACAATATTAATATCTGAAAGTGGAGACCTTAGTCGCATCAGCATCAAAAAGTAGGCAGAGCAAGATGGAAAAACACAGAAACCGTTACTTAATATGAGTATGTTTTGTATTAAAACTTTTTGTTCATAGGAATTTCTAACGAGCACGGTGACGGAGGCGGCCGAGACCGAGACGGAGACTGGCGAGATTGGCGAGACTTCCAGCCGACGATCCACCAGCGAGGTACGATACACAACATCTTTAAAACATGTTGATGATATGTCTTGAAGTTGACATGACATGGTAGCCCAGCACTTTTACTCAGAATGTATGTTTTTTACTTTACGTCGTACACCGTATACCAATGCGGTTTCATCGTCCATCGACATATTGGCTGCCACAAGTTCAGATATAATGGACATTAGAAAACGTAACACACCAAAGGTTAAAATATCAAGTAATATATATATGGTTGCTTATTTGCTTTTGTCATCAGACGGAGGGTGAAGGACTACGCGCTGCACTGGAGCAGGCGGAGGAGCGTGCACCGCCGCCGCCAGCCCATGCTCTTAAACATGAACTGCAACACACGCAGCCAGTTAGTACCAGTTCCTTCGTTTGTCATTTAACTAGATCTCTTATTTATCTTCAACTTGGTGCATTTAAACCACTTTAGCTTCCGAAACATTGTGATAACAATTGTTTACTATTGTGACGTAAATTGCAGGGTTACACGGTGCGCGGTTCTCCTGGCGGCAACAGCTCGGGTGCTCTGTACCCAGCATTGTGCGTTGGCGGTGCCGCGCTGGCCGCCGCCGCAGCTGTTGCTCTTGCCGTCGCCCGCCGCCGCGACCGCGCCCCAGCCGCACAGGGCTTCGTGCAGGTAAACAAATAACATTTGCACTCTCTTAGTTGATATAAAGAAAGACGTAAACGCACCTGTAGTTGCAACACAACAAACAGGTATACTTGAAAGCCGCAAGAGAGGATATAAAGAAGTCATGTCTTCAGAGACTTCTATATGTTTATGAACTAATGCTTAGACAAAATATAGGACAGAGTCGGTAGCAACCACCTTTAAAATTGTATACAAAAGGGAAAGTCTTCGTAGGAGTACAAGAGCAGAGACTATTCTTTTCCTCAAAGTGCTATCTACTTGCAGAGATTGTCCCTTATTAACGTATCTCTTGATACCTTACATCTGACTAGATATATTACTCTTAATACCTCTGTCTAACTCGCAATCATTTTACCTGATAGTACCTAATCTTGTCTTGCTTTCGCAGGTTGAACAGACCGGCGCCGTGGCCCCTACTCCCGAGGAACGGCACGTAGCCAACATGCAGATCAACGGCTACGAAAACCCTACTTACAAATACTTCGAAGTCAAGGAGTAAATCCTCCCCTGTCCCTCCCACACACTCCCCACCGGACACACTTCTTTCACTCTTCTATATTCTTCTATCTTTTACTAATCCAATTTAATATTACAGTTTTTATTAATTTATTTTAAGCATATGTTTTATAAATTAAATGTGATCGCGCTGTTTATTTAATATGTTTATTGCGAGTTTGTAGTGTAAATTGAGATATTTTGTGATGTGTGCTAGGAATCCCCTGTAGGCCCTTGTGTTTCGTGTCCCGCGTACTTTGTCCCCTAAAAAATAATTCTTTATGGAATGAATGTGTGTGTATACTTCTTTCTACTTCTTCGCGTCCGGTGGCGGGGATTAGAGATGTAATTAACATTTTAAAAGCTTGTGTGATTAGTCGGCATACATGTTGCGGTACTCGCAATCTCATACGATAGATAAGTCATCTGATAATATTACGTTATATTTTGTTACTTTATGTTTGCACCAAAATGTTTTTTTATTTTTATTTTAAAGGTTAGATATAAGTTTTCATCTAGTGTCCCTAGATATTGTAAGTCACTTTGTAGTTTTTTTAATTAAGTTTTCGAGGCCCCGGCCCAAGTGATAATGTCCAATGCGAGTCTTTCTCTTTCAAGCTTCTATGATATTGAACACTTGAGACTTTTCAAATCGATCTCAACTACGTTAGTATTTTAGTTAAGTCTACGTCTTTCTTGCACGACATGCGCGGGGCGTTGTCCCTTGGGCGAGTGGAACAAATCGTCCATTGTACGCTGTGTATATAGACTCCGCGTACATAATTCAACCTAAATTTTCTTAATCTTTATAAACCCGCTTGTTTTCTAACTTAGGTAGATTATAACGTGAATTCTATTTAATAAAATGCGAAAATATATTTTAATAATTATCGTGTACTTAGCGAAGATTCGGGCGGCAAAGCCGGTGCGGGTGAACCCTGAGTACTGCAGTCGTTCTAGTCAATATTATTATTTGATGCGCGATCATGATTATTATTTACGGGTTAATTTATTTGTTCTTCCTTTTTTCAACTTCTTGATCTTTGTTCGCCCGCGGGACAATACTCATAGTTCCCACTTAAAAGCCCGTGTACTCAAACTGTGCTTCGTCACTGTTGCAAGTGCATTGGTCTGTGGCATATTGGAAGCATTGCTGAAGCCGCAATATCTAGTCACAGTTGTCACAGACTATATTGTATCAGACAGACGCGCACATTATGAGCACACGCAGAGATGGTAAGCTTAGTGAGTGTATGTACGATTATGTATAAGTAGATGTACAAAAAGTAATACATTATATAGATGTTTTAGCGTCAGATACATAGATATAAAGCAAAATATTATTATATATCGCATTCGTCCGTTTAAAATAAGGGCTTGCGCTCGTGTCTAATCCCACGTACCACACTTAATGTTACGCCGTAGTTAAGATGTAATTCTGCCTCAGTATTATATACATTTAAGCTTATTTGTTACATAAGCTAATTTATATACACTTTATCTATTTGTTTATGGGCGTTGTGGCGCTGCTACGTAAAGAAAGTCATATCAGAGGCGTCACGGCGCTTTTTGTAACTCCTATTTCGTTGCGCTGCAAATGATTTCACGAAATAAAACAGATGGCGTGATAACCAATAGCAAAAAATGTATTCGCTTGAACTGCGACGTAACGAAAAAGGTGTAAGCGCCCGCCCGTGGCTTGTACGACATTTTACATAAGTCTATTCACTGTGTATAACGTAAGTTTAATCCTGCATAAATAACCGCTGTGTATTTTTAATAATGAATCTCATTAACTACAAGCCAACCTTTTATTTTTTTTAAACAAAACTTTTTGCTCAAATTCAATTCGACGGCATTATTAATGTTTCAAGATGTCGAAAATCGATGTCAAAAAATTACTTAAAAGATATTTGTCGTTTGTCAAACTTATCGATGTCGTAGTGAAACCCTGGTTTATGTAATTCCCATTTCAATGTTATATGTACTTTAAGAATATAAAAGGTTTGAGATTTTTTTTCTTTTTGTGATTTACTGTGCTGCATTTCATTGTGAGTTCGAAGTTCAAATTGAATCAATAAATAGAATCTTAAATATTGGTCTTGTTACTGGCGCTTTGCGCCCAAACCCAACCCTTCCCAAGTCCTATAGTAAACTAAGAACAAAGAATCAAAACAGTTATAAGTACTCTAGTAGATCAATCTTATCTGCCCCGGTAAGAGGCGATGTTGAGAAGTTAGTTTTGTCTGAAAATATGTTAAAAAAAACTTAAGCAATAGAAAATGCAATAAAATATTTTTTGATATTGCCTATTATAATTTAGTTTTACTTTTGACCACCGGGTCAGATAATATTGTCAGTCTATACAAGTAAACGTGGGTTTCTACTAAAATTACTCATAGACTCACTAGTCTTGAGTAACTCAACTAACATTGATGACCTGTAGACACTGACCTCTATAAAATGACTGGTTATAAGACGTATGTTTATTTTACTTATTTCATTTTCGCGATTATAGCACGTTTGTAATAGTGGTGTGAATTCAAACTAACAAAATAGATAAAATTAATGGTCAAATAACATCTACAAGCACGTTGAAATCAAAACAAAGCAAAGGCTGTTATTTACAAGCAATCGCCTATCCATTTATAGAAATCAGTTTGGACCAGCTAGCGGTTCCCATGTGTGAAAAGCTTAGTGAACTTGCTCTCAGCTAAGCTTAATTTTATCTATATAGAGTTATGATTTGCGTTTCATACTGCAAACTGCGAGTGACAAGGTAGCTCGTGGCTCATCCACTCACATTATAGTACATCGCAATGAGCCATGAGCTGCCAATTTAGTTGCTGATTCACAGCTCAAGAGAAACAAAGACAACAATATGTGTGACACGTGTCGCTGTAATCGAAAACCATAGTAATCGTAACTTTAAAGAGAATTAAACATGTGTGTAGTAAAAATGTTTTTGTATTACGTCCTGACGAAAGAAACACTAAACATTAGTATTAAGTTTTTTTGTAGAAAAGTTCAAGTCAAATTAAATTGACTTTAGCGACATCTCTAGTAAAGTTTATAAAATTGTTCGGCAGGCTTTGAATATTTATCGAAGGACAAAGGATGTCAGGCTTTTCAAAATATTGATTTATTAAAATGGCTTAGCTAATAATATTATATTTTCGGATGATCGACTTCAGGTTACTGCGCCAGTGGAGGAAGTAGCTAATAATAAAATAATTCCAACATTACAGTTTCTCATATATTTTTACTTAAATTTCGTCATTTGTCACATAAATATGTGAGCAAATTTCTAATTATTTTTTTTTTACAAAAAAATACTAGTTTCGTGTTCTTGTTTCTATTTAGAATAATGCAAACCTAAGTACAAAATAAGAGAACGAGAACTAGTCCAAAGATAGATCAGTGCCATCTATCATTTACATTAAGCACTACTACACAATTTGGTTTTATTGAAGTCGAAATAAAAATGAATTAAAATAGATGGCGCTATTATTAAAAATTAGTGCAACTCGAGTACACTTGCTTTACATTTCGTTTATCTCAGTTGATCAATTTGTAAATATACGTCAGTATTACTACACTATAGGCATGTGGGCGTCATTTATAGAACAACATTGGCTCTCTTTAGTTTGTTGCGAACATTTTCGAATATGATTACTATCTTTAACTTTGTAAATCTAATTTAGTATTTGTCTCAATCTTTGGCTCTTTATTTTAGTCACTAACCGATTTCTCCTTGTTAGTTAAAATATAAAATAAATAAAAATAACTCAAGAAAAAATGTTATTAATGCGTACGTCTTTTTTCCAAAGGCTGTTGAGTATAGTTCGATTCGGTTGTCCATACCTAGTTGCCGAATTACATCAATATACTTGGTTTTAGTGCAATATTTAAATTACAAATTCTATAGCGATTTCCACATAACTCTGATCTAAACTGAATAGAGCAGACAAAATAATTTTTTTTTTCAAAAAAACACCAGTTGCTATGTGGACAGGATTTTGATTTAATTAGCAATATAAAGGCCACGATTACCTTTTATTCGTCACATTCATTTTCAAATTAGTAAGGTCAGTGACATAGTTGTGGCATTGTTTTGTTTTAAAGCGAGTTAAAGGCATCAACAAAAAACAATGATAAACCGAAACATTTCCTCAATATGATTTTAATTCAACAAGGATTCGACTTAAATTCTAAAAACTCACTTTCAAGGAATCAAGTAATCAAAAATAATTCGCACAATTTTTCAGAAATGCAAAATTGGAAAAACAAAACTAAATAAACACATTTCGTTGGCCTAACTACATAAAGAAAGATAAATAATTATTGTGAGTTTTCACCGACGTGATACTTGTGTTACAACACATTCTTCCCATCACGGGAAATAATAGAGATATGATAGTACAAGCTGTTACCCGCGACTCTGTCCGCCCACAGTAAAAAAAAACCTAATTATTTTATAAATTTAAATTATATTATATTATAACGTATATAACGTGTATATTTAACAAACATCCAGATGAATAGATATCCATCTACCCAAATATTGGCATTTATAATATTAGTAAAATCTACAAGAGATTTGGTTATAAAAAACCAAAGCAAGACAAACATAAAATATGAAATTAAACGCCATTATGTCCAAGTAAATCAAAGCCCACTAAAATCTCGACGCGTGGCATAATTTGATATAATTACATTTATAGCATAATTGCTTATAATAATAACGATCATTTAAGTGCGAAGTGATAATATACATAAGTTCATTACGCGGTTGATGACCATTTCAAAATGGCGTACAACCCGACATCCTTGGTGTATGACGTATTGGTGCATAATTCGTTCACTGCACCTTCGTTCTTTTTCTGAATACATTTCTTTGTAAAGATCTGTTTTGTTTATGCGTGATATTTAATTTTTCTATTAATGTTTTTACTTTTATACTGTGGTACATTTTAGAAAGAAGAAAGTAGACAAAGGTTATGTAATCAGCCATCTCAGTCTCGCTACGGTTGACTACACTTATGTTAGTCTTAAACCAGATTTTTAACATTTACTTTTATAAGATTAGAGATTTTTTTTAATTCAAACCTTTTTGCTAAAGTTGACGTCTATTTTATGAGCATATTTTTAAATTGTGTTCTATTTTTAAAATTCCAAATATGTGTTCCAAATTCAATTTGATTTTGAAGTGAAATGTTTTACAATGTTTTTAAACAATACATGGAAACAGATCAACCTCGATAGTTGAGACTTAACTTTTTCGTAAAACCGGATCTGGTGCGTAAACTCGGCCCGCGTCGACTCGGCCGATTTATAAAGTGAATACTTGTTTCTTTAGCGGCCGCGCGTTAATAACATAATCAATTTAGCCTGGTTCCTGATACCGTAGCGGCTTTTTGTCGTATTCGTGTCATTTGTTAACATACAACATTTCCATATGCTTAGCTCGCGTCTACTCTAAACATTTTTTATTCTACTCCACACATTTTTATGCGTATACGAGATGTCAACTGTCCCTTTGACATTTGTAGTGATTTATAGAAAGTAATTACACAAAATAAATCAAATGACAGTGACAGGTGACATATCAATAAAAATTGTCGTGTAGAAAGGAGTAGACATAATATTTTTATATTGTGGTCATTCAAATCTTAAACTTTTTATATATGTACATTTATCCTATGTGCTATTTAATATTTTACATAAAAAAACACTTAAATCTATTAAATAAAATATTAAAAACGAATAATTACCTAAAATATATTATTGAAAGAAGTCCCTTTAGGCAAAGTTCCGAAGAAGTAAGTAATTTAGGATGATTTTAGCAACTGCTCGTATTTGACATTTAATATAATTTGTTATGGTACTTTTGAATACAGTATAATTTTATTCTAACGAAGTTCAAATTAGTATACGATTCAGTTTTTGTATTTAAAAGTCAATTAATGCGTTAAAATAATGCAGCGTTTCCGCTGATTTAAATATTTTTAGGTCTATTGCTCGCCAATCTTACTGCAAAAAGTGTGGAGTTGTATCTTGAAGTTTACCAAAACATGAATAATTTATGTTAAAATTGTATATTTTTAAAGCATTTTAAAACATTTCATTGTTCGATTGATCTAATTTTAATGAAGGTTATTTGAAGAAAACATTAAAAAATCCAAACGAAACAGATTATTTTAAAGGCAAAGTGCTGCTTTAAATTATCATTTAAAAACATATATGTATTAAGTATAATGTATAATAATATCAATAGATGGCGCTGTTAAACTGAAATGTAACGGAGTTTATATCGTTATAGATAAAACACATGTTATTTAATAATTTTGCTACAAAACAATGATTTTCTCAAAGTTTTAACTTACTATTTAATATTTTAATAAGTTTTCTAGTTGCTATTATAACTATCAATAAATATTCGGGGACTTTTCAATATTTTACTGTAACGGACACGAAGAAACGGTGTGCTAGTCTCGCTTCACTGCCCTAAAGCATAGGCGGCTATTTTATTTGATGCGCGTAAAATTTGAAACGGTTTATTTTATAACTAGCTTAAAGCCGCGGCGCTGTCTGCGCTTACTATTTATCAGAATATCCGTAACGGTATCATCGCGTCTATAACAACGATCAAGAAGCTCAACTCGCTCTATAAATTTTTATATATCTTAGTACTATAACCAGATAAAATGAACTTAACAATGTCTATACCGAAGCGAATAATTTTTCAAATTTACATATGAATAGATTACAATAATACAATCTTAGAAATATCATTGATTTTTACCAATTCTTAATCACCAACAAGATTGTAGTTTATTCGGTAAAATTTCCGTTGGTTTTTATTATGTTTTGCGTTTACCCCTGACTAGCTGTTGACAGCGACTCCGTACGCGTATAAATAAAAAAAAACTTAATAAATAGCCTATGTGTTCTTGCAGACTATGTTCTACATCTGTGCCAAATTTCATCAAGATTCGTTGAGCTGTTCTGGAGATACCTTATAACAAACATCCATCTAAACTTTCGCATTTATAATATTAGTAAGATATTCAAATACGC